CTGCGGTCTGCCCGCAGCTGGAAAATCGACCTTCGCGCGGGCTCTCAGTCACCAACTACAGCAGGAGCGGAGCTGGGCCGTCGGCGTCGTCGCCTATGATGACATCATGCCGGACGCGTTCCTTGAGGAGGCGAGCGCACGGCCATTGGTCAGTAGGGAGGGGGCGGGGCCTAGACTCTGGCGGCCGAAGGAAATGTACATGCTCCTCCCCTGTATACAGGATGATACCCGGTGTGGGAGAGTAGAGAGGGAAAGACTGGAGTTCCAGGAAAGTGGAGCTGGTTTAACCTAGGATGAGTTGACTCCATCTTAGAGGAATTCATTGTAGAGGTTTATATGTACATTGGAGACATATATGTATTGTATATTCTATACAGTGGAGTTTTAAGACAGGGTTAGGCCTGAAGTCAGCGTGCAAGGTGGAAATCCCCCATAGACAAGTATACTCTTGAAAATCCTTTGGGAAGGTTTTTCGTGGAAGACGGACAGAATCTCTCAAAAATTCCAACACAGCCAGTTTAACAGGCAGCCAGGGGAGAATCCAGGTTTTGTGGGGCTTGAAGTTTATACAATTGGGAGGGGGGTGGAGAGTACAAAATGATAAGTAACAAAACTGCTATGACGATAAAGAGGCTGTACAAATGAAGGACGTGGCCTCTGAAAGTCAACTTACTCATCTCAGGGTAAACCTGCATCTGCCAGCATAGGAAAAAATGGCTGTTTCTTAGTAGACCCCCAGATAAAGTAATGGGCTTGTATTTAGGGAGCAACTTGTATGTTCCATGTAAATACTTCTCTTTAAACCCTCCGATCACACTCAGCGCTATGAGACGCATCCTCCTGGAGAAGCGTGTGAAACCTGAGACCTGGGGGAAGAGTAGATTCATGTCTCCCGGATCTCATGCTCACTCTAGAGCAAATACTCTTTGGTTGACGTATTCTGAAAATGTTAAAGTTATTTTTGTCATTTAGTGCCCGAGTGTAGATGAATTCACATAAATAAAGTGCAAATATGATGTGATTCCACTCTGTAAATATATATGCAAAAATACAGTACATTTGACATATGGAAAAACTTTGGACCACCCCAGCAAAGTTATATACTTTCTCTTTCTTGGTTAATTGTGAGGCAAATATGGTATCAAGCCTTGGCAGCACCGATTTACTTAGATGATAGTATTGTCACCACTTTGGAGAAAGCTGAAAGTTGTTGATAGGGATTGTTGTATTTGCTGGGCTTTTCCTCACTTTTCTTAGGTTTTTTTGCACTCTCCCCCTACTAAGCCCATGGGACTCATCTAATCACATGAGAAGGATATCTCATCTTTTAGGAAGTGATCCCTCCTTCCTTTTTAGTGGGTTTAGCTGATGTGTTTATTGTATGTGCTGTAATCTCAGTGATGTGGTAAGGCATGGAAGGCAGGAGAGGGACCCTGATCTCCTGTTCTTGTGTTTGACCTCATAACTCCCTCAGTGCTCTCCACAGCCCTTGAGCAGCACAAGACTACTTGTATTTTCAAGCTATTTATTCTCTTTCCCTCAATCTGCTTCCTCTATCTTTCCCCATCCCATTTCAACCCTGGTGTTAGCCTGAGGTCTTTTCCTCATGACCCTGGGACCTTTCAGCTGATCCTCTTTGTGTCCAGAACTTTTCTCATTTCAAAGGCAAACCAGCATTACGGTATCATAGCCAACCTAATTTATTTCGGTTTTCCTTTCTCCTGGATGGTAACAGCTTTTCATTCTTTCATTTATTCACTCATTTAATTATTCAGTCATTTAATTTACATTTCTGGAGTACCAATTGGCTTCAGACCCTCTACTGTAGGGTGTGTGTACAATGGATGAGCACGGACAGAGAGATGTGCAAACAAATGCCAAAATAGTGTAAACCCTGCTAGAGTGGAGACCCAACATATACAGAACAGGGTGTCGTGATAGGCAAGGGTCTGAGCTGCCTTCTGCATGGTTGAGTTTGAGAAGAGTTGACAGAGGACTGACATCTTTGGGGAGGAGCTTTCCAGGCAGAGGGAATGGTAGATAGGAGGACATGGAAGCGTGGGAAGGGAAAGCAAGCTGTGTTTAGAGGATGCCAAATGGTGCAGTACTGTGGGATGAAATTTTCATTTTGCAATGAGGCATGACTGCCTTACTGGCCAAAACCTAATATAAATCGCAATTCTTTGGTTTTTTTATAGCCAACCCAATGGAAATTGCTTCGACAGGAGCTGTTGAAGTACATAGAATACTTCTTGCTGGCTGTCATTAACGGGTGTCAGATGGCTGCCCCACCCAATAGGACTGAAGCCATGTGGGAAGATTTTATAACCTGCTTAAAGGATCAAGATCTCATATCTTCTGCAGCGCATGAGGCCCAGTCTTGCTACCTCTTAACGAAGACTGCTGTTTCTAGACCTTTGTTTTTGATTTTAGACGACAACTTCTATTATCAAAGTATGAGATATGAAGTCTACCAACTGGCTCGGAAATGTAATTAAAACATTTTTTTCTTACACATAGAGACATGTATTCCCACATCAAAATCATTACCATCTTTACTGAGAATTTAATTGGATTGGGAGGCTTATATGGATTTTCTTCATTTTCAAAGCTAGATGTTCATTCAGTATTATATATGGTTTTCCCCGCTGCGGCTCGGATAATGTGTCTAATATGTTTATTTCACATTTAGAAAATAGCACACCAGTAACTTCTGTGGTTTCAAATTGTTTTCAGATTCATTAGGCTTTTGCCAGCTCTTTTTAGATTGTTCTCTCGAGACCTGTTTACAGAGGAATGGCCAGAGACCACGGGCACTGCCTGCTGAGACCATCCACCTGATGGGAAGAAAGATAGAAGAGCCCAACCCTGAGAAAAATGCTTGGGAACACAACAGCCTCACAATTCAGAGTCCAGCGTGTCCTTCTGAGGCCAGGTATTCCCCTCAAAGCCATCCTTCAATGGGTGTCTTCCTGAGGCAGGCACTGTGCTAAATGCTTTACTTGTATCCCTTGGTTAATCCTCTCACAGGCCTTAGAGCTTTATTTCCCCCTTTGTGTAGGAGAGGAAACTGAATGAGAACTGTTCAGTTTGCCCAGCGTCACCGAGCTGTGACAGCTGAGATTTGACCCCCAGTGTATTTGCAGAACGTGCTCTTGTTAAGATCCTGCTGTGCCCAGTGGTCAGAGCAGGGAATTCAGACTAGGACACATATTTGGTATTCTTGCCAAAATGGCATGCAAGTCTAAATAGGTTGCCCAGTAGTTTTCTTATAGAAAGAAAAAGATACCGGAACTGATATTGAATCCTAATTTTGCCTTAAACCTCGCGATAGTTATGCTGCTTGTGCGTAGGGAAGGCTTGTGGCCGTGGTATCTAATGCATTCTGGTCTGGAGAGTTCTACAGCAGCACATTTTCTAATGGAAATTTCACTGTTTCACTCGCGAAATGTTCTCCATTCACACTGTCCAGCATGGGAGCTGCCAGCCACATGTGACCCTGGAGCACTGGAAACAGCTAGTGCAACTGATGACCTGAATTTTAAATTTTATTTTAATTACTTGAAACTTCAGTAGCCTCACGTGGCTCATGGCTGTTGTCCAGACAGTGCAGCTCTGCAGGTATATTACTGCTCACCTCTCCTTAGCCCCTGCCTGACTGTTGTCCGTAGAGAATCAGTAGTTTTTAAAGACTCATTCTTCATAACATTTAGTTTCCATGCATTTTATAATATATACTTTGACATACTTAAAAAAAACAAACCCCAAAATTGGGTTTAAGTAACTATTGTTTATAGGATTTATGAAATAAGCTACTGCTGAGGTTTCTAATTTTAACTTCTCATAATATCCTGAAACCTTGAGCAGGCACATAACTGCTTGATTGCTACTCGTTCTGGAATACGTAAAATGTTTCCTTTGGAAGGAAATGGCTGGTCAAGGCATTGAGCTATCGCATGAGAGCAGCATAAGGTTTATCATCAATGCTTTCAGACCAGTGAGGGCCAGTTCTTTCTAGAAGCAAGGAGGAGTGAGCTTCTCCAATGCCCACTCTTAGCACAGTCTGCAGTTTTGTCTTGGGTCTAAAGATGGTCACCTTTTTTCACATATCCACAATAGTCACCGCGTAACTCTGACCAGGTTGTTGGAAGTCCGGTGGCCCTGTGTGAGAAGTTGAAAGGTGATCTGACTAACTGTACCTTTCCCAGGCTTCTCTGAAATCTTACTACCACTTTATATGTATAACCTCATTCAGTCCTTACAACATCCCTGTGCGGGCAGATACAGTCATGCCCCTTTTATAGATGGGATATCTGAGGCCCAGGTAAGTATATAACAGCCAGGTAGTAAATGGCAGAGCCAAGATTTGGACCCAGTGCAATCTCATTCACTCTAGAACCTGGGCTCTTTTCAGTGACAAAAATCATCTTGAGGTTGAGGTGTAACTCAGTGAGTTCACTGCCTCAAATATTTTCAGTGCTACCCCTTGTACTCTGAGTAAAATTCAGGGTCCTTACCATTAAGGTAGGTTATCCATGTGTTCCAACCCTGATTTAACTCCCCAGCCTCGTATCGTACCACTCTCTCCCGTTGCTACTTTTCAACCAAACCAGCCCTGTTATGTGAACACAAGAAGCTTGTTCTTGCCTCAGGGCCTTTGTACCTGCCGTCCCCTCTACCCTTCCACATATTTATGCTTGACTGGCTTCCCAAGCACCTTAACCCTGAAGAATGTAGTTAGATTACCCAGGCACTCTCTTATCATTATCACTGTGTGTATTCTTAACTTACCACCCGTCACTCTCTGAAATTATTATTTTTTGCTTACTAATTTATTACCTGTCTCTCTCCATTACATTATCCCTTGGAGAGGGTAGGCATCTTGCGTCACCCCCAGCTTAGCACACAGTTTCACATCGTTGTCCCATATTTCTAAGAGGCCCAATAAATATTCGTTAAATGAATGAATTCCACCTCCACTCTCCATGGCCCCTGGACAAGTGAAGAGCTTTGCTAATCAAGACCCAGTTAAGGGGCAGAAGCCGTAAGGTCAAGACTGGACAATTTTCTTTAGGGAATAAAAGAGAGTTCTGGTAGCCTCGAGTTCAGCACTTACTGAGGAAGAGAGAATGCCTTTTCAAAGCTTATTGATATATCTTTGGAATTTAGTCTTTTTTTTTAATGAGGGTTTTTTTGGTTTACAATTTAAGCTTCTCCATTTCGATTTTGCAAGTAGAACTTAGCTTCCAAATCGTCATTTTCCCCGTTTTGTTTAGGATCGTGGATTCCAGCACTTATATCCCTCTAGAATTCAACTTGGTGTTTACAAACACAAGTTATTTGGAAACAAATGTTTGCTATTAGGATTTACTTTATTACACCTTTTCTTACAGCCCGAAGTTAACTGATTTCTTGCTTACTGCTCTGGAAAATCCAGTGAAATACGTTGAGGACAATGTGGAACAAAAGGTAAGCCTTCCAGTTTAGCTTTAGTAGAAATGAGAAGGGATAGCTGTTTGTAGGAAGATCTGTATGAGCCGAGTGAATAATACGAGTAAAATGTGCAAGCAGCTCTGGCACTGCCTCGGCATGTCACCCGCTCTCAGCTTCTGGCCCCTGGATGCTGCTGGTGCACTGGTGGCTGCCTGCACTAGCTAGTCAAAGCTGTCAAATTTTCAGAAATGGGGGCCTGCTGACATTGTTTTGGTAGCTTGAGATGGGCAAGGATGGGGCTATTTACGCCCCAGACATTGACAAACACTATAGATAGGTTTTGTTGTTTTTCTGGAGAGCCCGTTGTTGGACATTTACCAGTATCCCACTGCCCCGATGGAACCCAGGTTGCAACTGGATGTATTTCATACAGACTGTCCTACGGAAGAGTAACTGGAATGAAAAGCCACTGCGCTTTTTCTTTTTGTCTTTTCAAGTCTGCATCTACTTTAGCCTTGGCTTTTATAAAACTATATAACTGTTCTAATAACTATGTCTATATTACATAGGAAACAGACAGAATTATTTGTTCAATGAGCATTCTTCATCAAGCCGATCAGACCCTCCGAAGAATTGTCTCTCAGACAATGAAGGAAGCGAAAGGTATGTTGGGTGGTTCCATTGTGTTGGGTAGTATGACTACTGCTCCTCTGGTTCCCTTGACACTTGGGTAGTTATTAGCTTTCAGCCATAAAGCGTACATCGTGTTTCAGTTCAAATATGCAACTTGGTTATACGAAACGAAAAATTCTACCCCTGGAGCTGGGGGTTCATCCGTCCAATAAATCTTTACAGAGTGGCTCCTCTCCAAGGCCTTATTCTAGGTACTGGGGAGTTGAGAGGGAGCAAACATGATAGTGAGGAGACAGACAGGAAAAAAAAGTGAATATATGCCAATGCTCTGAAGAAAAATCAAGTAGCATGAGGCAGGGAGGGCAGAGTGATGGGGGGGACTTCTTTTTAAAGGAGTAATCAGGAAGACTTCTCAGAGAAGGTGACATTTAAGCAGAGATGTGAATGAAAGGGAAGAGCAAGCCATGCAGACATCTGGAAGACACTTCAAGCGCAAAAGCCCAGAGGTAAAGTTGTTTGGTGTGTTCCAGAACAGAAAAGAGGCCACTGCGTCCAGGGTGAAGCAAGAACAGTGGGGGAGGGAGTCGGAGACCGGATGTAAAGTCAGCACGGAGTTTGAACAAGCTCAGTATACTGTCAGTCTTACATAAACTTAGATGAAACACGGTAATTATAGTTTTATAAACTAATTCCTTTAGATTTTAAACATTGAACTTTTTGCTATATTTAAAATTTGATTTAAAGAAATAACAGCTTAACGTTTCTTGAGCTCCTTTTATATGCTAAGTGCCTTATATTTTTTCTAGTCTTTACAATCCTATAAGATAGCTGTGATTTTACAAATGGTGACATGAAGGTTCTGAGAGGATACAGTAACTTGCCCAAAGCCAAATAGCTGTAATACTAAACGCTGTACTTGGGCAACCTGGGATTCAGAGTTAAGGCTGCTTGTATCTGTGCTTTCTGTTATGCTCCCCACATCACCAACAAAAGCTAATACCTTTACAAATGCTTAAACATTGGAAAAACAAACAGTATACTAACCGTATGGTGTTTTTCAAACTTTTTTTTTTTTACCATGATCTGTAAGTAGATGTTGTATAGTTACCTCTGTGTAGCTCAGTACATGAACACAAGCACACATAAAAAGTGTCACAAAACCCTCGCGTTTAAGGAACGCCATGTTCTATTTGATTCCATTTTAGAAAAACACTGGTTGCAACTTGCAACTCACTTATGGGTTACAATCCAAAGTGTGAGAAACAGGACTGGAACAGATGTGGCGTGATTAGAAAAAAAACCAAAAATAGCTGCAGCTCTATCTCCACCATTTGCCTTTCTTCTGTTCTGTCTAGAACATGAAGGGAAGGGGGAAAAGCATTATGCCCAAATCACTCTTGACTCTTTCCCACCCATTTAAAAAACACATAGTTTTTTGTGTCTTTGTGAGGGACGTGGTACTAGCTTCTGGATCGAGGCTTAAATAACAGTAAAAATGCAGTTCTCCTACCATCAAGAAAGTAAATTTAAAGAAAAAAAAAAAAAGAATGGGAGAAATATTTGCAAATAACGTGTCTGATGAGGGACTTTTATCCAGGTATCCAAACTATATAAATACTCTTAGCACTCCATAATAAAGACAAATGACCCAGTTTTTTAAATGGGCTAAGGATTTGCCCAGGGAAGATACACAAGTAGCCAATAACAGCATGAAAACATGCTTGATGTCATTAGTCATCAGGGAAGTGCGCATCAAAAGCACAGTGAGATAACACTGCCCACCCACGAGGATGGCTAGAATCAACAGGTGCAGGCGAGGCTGTGCAGGAGTCAAAACACTCCTGCACGGCTGGTGGGGTGGGAGCCGGTGCAGCTGCTTTGGGAAGCAGCCTGGCAGTTCCTCAAACAGTTAAGTGTAGTTACCATGGGACCAAGCAATTCCACCAGTAGGTATATACTCAAGAGAAATGAAAAATGTTCATATAAAAATTTGTACACAAATGTTTATAGCACCACTATTCACAACAGCCAAAAGGTGGAAGCAACCTAGGTGTCCATCAGCTGACAAACTGATAAACCAAACGTGGTGTACCCATACAACGGATTATTTGGCAGTAAAAAGGAATGAGATCAATACATGGTACAACGTGGATGAACCTTGAAAACATGCAAAATGAAAGCAGCCAATCACAGAAGGCCACATATCACACAATTCCAGTCACGTGAACTGTCAGAACGGGCAAATCTATACACGCGTAGATTAGTGGTTGCTTAGGGATTGGGCGGGGTGGGAGGATAGGGTAGGTAAAGGGTACAGGTATTTGAGATGACAAAATGTTCTAAAATCGTGGTGACACTTGCACATATCTGAGTATACTAAAACCACTGAATTGTAGTTTAAACAGGTAATTTGGGTGGTGTGTGAGTTGTATCACAATAAAGCTGTTTTACAAAAAATTCAGTTCCTCACACTACCCACACGGCTGGGCGCTGCCTAATTAAATAGGGCGGATACAGAACGTTTCCATCATTGTAGAACGTTATATTGGACAACTGTTGTAGGTTTTATCAGTTTCAAAACCAAATTATCATTTTCTGGCTCTGCTGTTTTGCCTTACTACCTGTTAGTAAGATTACAAGTGAAATATCTTGTCAACAACAAAAATCCCTTGTCTTTTCTGCTCAGGAATTTCCTAGCAAGTTATTTAAATAATTTGCTTGTATCACACATTAATGTGACCTGATTTGCTTGTGTCACATTAATGTAACCTTTTATATATACACGTATATCATGCCAACTCCGTGGTATTGTGATTATTTATAGAAGAATTTAATTGGTTTGTCTGAAGTAATCAAATTAATTTCCTGGTGTCCTTAGACAGCCCAGCTTGATTTAATTTACACAAATAATTCGAGAATATCTTTGTCTTAGATGAACAAGTGCTTCCTTACAACTTGAAGCTTCTAGCAGAAGAACTTAACAAGCTCAAAGCAGAGTTTTTGGAAGACCTAAGACAAGGAAACAAAAAGTATCTGTGCTTTCAACAAACCACTGGCATTTCAGATGTTATTTCTTCTTTTCATTATGAGAAAGATAATATTGTACAGAAGTATTTTTCAAAGCAGCATTAAAACTTCTGAACTTCCAATCAAATATCTCATACTGGTTAAGATTTTGTCAACTAATTACAGCAATTTTGTATTACTGGATGTTTTCTAGACCAATGATGTAAATTGCCACTTATATTTTATAAAAATCAGTCATTCTAAAAGACCTATTTGTCATAGCAGAAGTTACTTCTTCAGTCAGTCACTTGTAAGATGTGACAGGAATAATGAAACATCAGAGGCGGCCTTCATCATTTCTGGCCAGAACTCCTAGGGTAGGGCTGGGGAGGGGCAGGAGTCACACAAGTGAAGAAACTAGAAGGGAGACAAAACGCGCATGTCTGGAGCTGTTGTTTTTAACTCAGGTGACAGATATTCTCATGGGTAAGGCATTCTACAGATTCAAACTAATGTAGCCACAAAACTTTTTTTTTAAAGTATTTTACATATTGGAAAATAACTAACAAACTAATTGGATCCTGGTTTTCAAAAAGAAAAATCGAGATCATTAGAAAGTGTTATTTTTTATTCATATATTACAAAAGCAAAGCTTCTTTCACAATATGGACTCCATTACTAGGTGTGGTTATTTCAGCATTAAACTGCTTTCTGGAATCCCTAAACAATATATAGTGTTTTGCAATGATGCTTAAGTTTTATGTTTTGCATACAAAATATGTTCTTTACAACAAAGTATATATTAACAAAAACAAGTTCTAGAAATCACATACCCTCTAAGACTATTTAATGAAAAAGTTTTTAGGAGATTTTAAGAAAATAATACATCCATTTGATAAATATTTTTGTAGAACTTAAAATGAGATTTATCTTTGAACATTTTTTTTGTAATATTCCCTTTGTCAAACAATTTTGCAGATGAATAGCAAACACTTATTTCTAAAATGAAATAGTGCTGGGAAATATCCAATGGAATTTTTTGAAGGTAAAAGTCTAGCTTTGACTTGAATTTCAAAAAGTTGTAGTTACATACTGTAATAAAAAGTTGTAGTTACATACTGAAATAAAATTAGTCCCTATTAATCTCTTCACAGTTTTAATTTTTTAATATTAAAAAAATATTAGTGGACATACATCATCTACCAACTTTAAAAATCTAAACTTATGTTCACTGAACAAAAATAAACTTAGTTTCAGAACACCGCCTATTAACAGCAAAGTGCATGTTAAACTTTTCCCAACTCATTTCTATAAAACAGTTGATTAAAATGGGACAAATATATTCAATACTTAAAGATACTAACATCTTTCCAAATACAGAACTCACACAAAATTTAAATAAAATCCTAAATCTTTTTAAAAATATAATACTAAAGATTCTAAGGTAGATTTGCTTCAAAAATTTCAGTGCATTTAGAATTGTAGCTTTCAGGCATCAACACCTTTGGAATACCTTTAAGTCACAGGAATATTAGAATTATACAGTCTAGCTTGTAATTAGGAAAAAAAAAGTTGTCTATGTTTAAATTAAAATGCGCCTTCAAAATATCTATCTTTAGTTGTCAGAAAAAAAATGTATTTGTCACTATTTGGCCCAGGATATAGAGTTAATAAACTGGTTTTAACAAGGGAGTTTTTCCTCTTTGTTTAATGAAAACTTTCATTTTCTATCATGGGTATTGCCTTCATTTGAAGAATAGAAGTGAGGTGGGGGAAACTCACCACAAAAGTTCCCAAATGACAGCAACCTGTTTCTTTCTGGCAACCAATAAACATCAGGAACAAGTTATACGGTACATTTGGAAATGGCTGCCCTAAACCTGAATCGGAGCAGTGAGCAATTGAAACAACAGAGAAAACAGATTATAGAATTTTAGATGCACAAGCCTGAGCTGTGACAAGAAAGAGTTATAGTTGTTTGGAGAACCTCTCTGAGATGCTTCTTTGAACAATGCAACTGAGATTAGTTGAGATTGGATATTAAACCACAAGAAGTGACTACTGGCTTTCTAGCATGTGGGAGGGCAGATGATGCTTTAACTCGGCACTTAGGGGTATTGGTGGACATGTTACCATGAGTATTCCCCTTTTATTTGCTATAGGAGTGGTGGTCCTTTTTGGTTAATAAATGCTTAATAGTTAGGATATTCTCTTTATGAAGCCAATTCATAACACTTTTAAGCTTTGAACCAAATTAAAAATAAAAATTTTTGCAAAGTACACAGAAACCAACAGTTAGTAACAATATATTTTATTGTTTGACCAAGCTCTCTTCAGAGTAAGCTAGTTATTACACAATATATAAACAATAGCCTCCTATTCAAAATTACTCTAGATTTATTTAGCAAGTCTTATTTTTGTAAACAAATTAAATATGTTCAAATGCATTTTATATCTATTTTTACATTTTTGTATCCTTTCCTTCTAATCCATTTCCATATAGTTTTGTCACTCACTGTACAGGAAAGATTGGCAAAACTGCAAATAAGCATTACAACTTAAAAGTCACACAAAATATTTTAAATGGCCACTTCTGAAGAGAACACCGGAATTCATTTTGGATATATGTTCTCATTTTTTAAAATATTACTTCATAATTACATTTTCCCATGTGTTTCTGTACCCACCTTTTTTTGGGGAAATTATGGACAACAAATGAATATAAGGCAGGAAAATGAAACTTCAGAGATTTGTTTTTTTTAAGGACTGCATTTCTAGGAATAAGATGGATGACTTCCACTGTACCTCTTTGGTCATCAACGGAATAAGAGCAATAACAGATTCTTAGTATAGTTATCAACCTTACCTGACACTAATAATGTCAGAATGAAGGATTTAAATGCAAGGTTCAAATTAAAAGGGAAAAAAAAAAGTATCTTCATAGATAATCCTCCGATATTTCTAGTGTTCTCATGTATTTACCTGTGGTTTCTAAAATAAATTAGATGTATAAGAAAAAGAATCCAATGGAAAACTGACATGTGTTTAAACTAGAAGTTGAATAAACAGGTATTTTAAATACTGAACTCCATTTTCAATGTAAAGCCTTAAGTTTTATTTCTTTTCAGAACTTTCTCATATTTTATAACTTTAATTTCAAAAGAATTAACTGTTTTATATTGCCACTTATGGAAAAAGAAAGGTTTACTATAGCTGAAATGGCTTTACTGTTATCAGTTGAAATGAAACTATGTAAACGAAACAGTATTTCAATTAAGAGCAATTTTAAAGGCAATTCCTCTACTAAACATTGAAATAAGTCATAACATTTTATAAGAGAAAGTACTTTATTTTACCACTTTAAAATATGGCAGAAATAACATCTAGCTACAATGTATATATTGAAACATCAAGAGTATTGATAATCTTTGAAGTTTTTATGGACCATAAGTGTGGGGAATTTAAATGAACACCTATAAGATTGAGAATGCACTCCAATTCTCAAATGTCTAACTGAAAGCGAGAAATAAGACACCAGTGTATCTAGTTGTTCTAATACATAAATGACCCTAACCAGACTTTTATGAAAAAAAAAAAAAAAAAACCACAAAAAGGAAAATTTGTTTCCATTGTCAAAGTTTTCTATAAATATAATGTATAAACTTTAAATTAGCAGACACCTTATTAAGGATGGACCCGCCCCCCCCCAAAAAAAAACCCCAAAACTACAAAACACAGAAAGGCAAAACCAAGAAAAGCATAATGTGATTGTTGCCAATCAGTGTTGGTTATGTTGCCCTCTTGCAAAATGACAGGCAAAATCGTACTTGTTTTTACATTTGCATCCACATATGTTACACTGAAAAGGATTCTCATACCCATGACATCCCATATGAATCGTGTAGAGGATATTGTCGGCGAAGTACATGTCACAGTGCTGGCAGTGGTGGAGCAGCTGCGGGTCCTGGACCGGCAGCGTGGGAGCCGGAGTGCTGGGCTGGCTGTTTCCTATGCTGGGTGTACTCGTGTGGGCACTTGGTTCACTGCTTGGACCTGCCACCGGACTGTAGTTCCTCTGACTATGCGATGGCCGAGGTTCGGGGCTCGTGGGGGAGGAGCTCTGAGGAATACTTGCTGACACGGCAGAAACCACTGCCTGGGCAGAGGGCTGCTGCATGATGAAAGGCTTCTCGTCGGGGCAGGGCACTACATCAGGGGATGCGGGGTTTTGGTTTTCAGGTGGCAAACTGGACAACTGTCCTGCTAGAGTGGAGAGCTGATTTAAAGGGTTGTCAACCAGGAGTTCTTGGGGGTCCCTTGGTAGGCCACCAGTTGACGTGGTTTTCGCCATGCTTTCATAGGAGTCAGCCTGGATGTTTGGGAGTTCATGGGTAAAATCGTTAAGGTAGTCTGGCTTCTGAACCACCATAGAAGGCGGACTTAAGTTGATTAGTGCTCTTCTGCTATAGCCCAGATTGCTTGTTTTCTTCTGTAAAACCCCCCACATTTTCTTGCTGCTTAAGGAAGACCTAGTACCTTTAATGGGTACCATTTTATGCTTGCGCCTTCGATGATGGGACAGGTTGCTTCGATCACTGCAGCGGAAGGAACATAATTCACATTTGTATGGTTTTTCTCCTGTATGGGAACGCATATGGGCTTCCAGATGACGCTCATAAGCAGATGCAAATGGACATAAGTGACATCTATGAGGTTTCTCACCTGTTTAAAAAAAAATGGGGGAGAAATTGCAAGAGTAGCTCATCTATGAAGTTTTCTGTTTTGTCCATTCATTAGATTTGAAATTGATCAAAAATAAAATGCTTTTCAGAAATATACATCTGCACAAGATATTAAAATCTTTAAAGAAACCTACAAACAAAGCCTAAGAACCCAATCAGCGACAGTTTGAGATATACACATATATTCTATTAATCAATATAGTGTAAAAATTGTATGGCTTCAACTGGCATTCAAGGACAGAATAGCACAACTGACAACAATATTCCCTACATAATAATGATTTTATCAAGAGTATGCCCCAGAGTTACGGGTTCAGCATATATATCTATACATGAATCACTATTCATACATTTTGCACGCACACAAAAACCCTTTCCTCGGGAAAAAAATACAAAAAAACCCGTTTTTAAGAAGTCTGTATATTAAGAAGAAAGTTCAAAATTGACATGGGCTGCTAGGCCAATCGTGAGTTATGTAAAGTGTCCTTTCAAAATTGCCAGCTTTCCCACTAACGTTCTCCTCCTCTCCAATTGCCAGAAGTGACGGTTTTAGTTAGTGCTCATGGTTGAAGATGGCCAAATACGTACGATAAATATCTGGAATATGAGATTTGAACTCATTCATTCAACAGTGAAGTACTGAGCACCTAATGTGTGTCAGGTGCCATTAGGCTGTGGGGGCACAAAGTGGCACTGACACAATCCTTGTTCTCAAGAGGTTTTCAGGCCATAACGCAGCATGGGAAGCCATTGTGGCATACAGGAGGGACATGTGACCTGGTCTCGGGGCCAGGACAAGGTGTAGTTGAAGGTTTCGCAGCAGGAGGGATGGCTACGGTGAGATGTGAGGGCCAGCAGTGTAGTCTGCGACAGTGCAGAAACCTTTCCCCCAGTCTGCAAGTGAAACTGTACTTAGTGAGGATAAAGGTGAAAACATCTTATCTCTTCACACTGCTTTCAGCATTAACCTGTTCTGCCTGAGAAGCGGACAGATGTTGAGAGATTATTTGGATGAAGGAGGACAGCTAAGGAAGGGGAAGCTCTCTATAAGGGCCTCACTTCCTGTTTGTATGCTGTTACACTATTGCTTTGTAAAGATGGAGTAACTTCCCCATTTATTCAAACCCTATATCAACCTTCATTTTTAATCTATTGGAACTACATATATACAGATCGACCTGCCCTCCTCGGCCCCTCTCTTGCCCCCAAAGAAAGGCCTTCTCGGCCGCATCCCCGTTACCTGTGTGGATTCTGATATGCTCAATAAGCCGGGCTGTCCCTTTGCTGGCATAGTTGCAGTACCGGCACTTGAGCTTCCCATCAAAGGTCCTTTCAAACCCGTCCACTAACATTCCTGAGTTTTCATCCAGGGAAACTTCAACAGATGGGTGATCAAGTCCATTCTGATCACCATCTGTTCCAGCTATAAACAAAGTAGGCAAAAGAAATCATGCATCTCAGAATCAACTCAATGTAGCATTTTAGTCTACAGTTATAGAAAATCTTCCATAAGTTGATAGTTTACTTAGCTTAAAAGTTACATTCTTCAAATACTGACTTTCTAAACTGAGGCTAATTTTATCCAAAAGCAGTATTCTACTTATGAGAAACATTTTTAGGAGGATCTCAAATTACTTACAAATTTTATCAGTCCTCGACTTGCTTTTCAAGAAAACAACAGGGTATTATCCTTATTTGACAGGTGAGGAGATGGGGGTAAACAGTGATGGCATCGTTACACACAGGTTTAAGATGCTAGCCACTTCTACAAATATTATAATTGGAAGTCATGAAAAATCTCCCCAAATCCTAACTCTATTTTCTTTAGCTTAAAGCAATTAATGTTGAGTTCTGCACTGTTCCACTCAGTTTATACATATGTCCTAGATTCTGGGTAGCATTTAGGATCTTAAAATTCCAATTTAGCACATAAAGCAAAATACTGTATTTGAGTCCTCTGAATGTTAGAACTCTAAGAATTTGAGAGCTAAAAGATAGTTGTTTGGCTCTTGGCTTTTAATCTAATCTGACTACATCTTTGTATAGATAAAGAAACTGAAGGGGCAAGTGCTTATAATCAGGAAAACCAGCAAACGTAGGGGACCATAGCCCTGGTCTCTGGAATCACAGTCCAAGAACCTGTACACTAGTCTTTGGAGGAAAGTGTTGCTTCCTACAGCTTAAAGGGGAAAGCACGTCTACTCCATCCCCAGGTGGGGGCAATTGTGGGTGTGAACACTTAAAGCATCCTCCAACCCCAGTTCCTCCACCCCTCACCAGGAGAAGTATTTTGCTGGTTGGTGCAAGTCCAACATCCAACAATGCCATTGTATTGGAGAAACAAGGCCCAGTGTCCCGTTCTCCCATTGCTTTCCCAAGCGAGTGACTCTCAAAATTTAATGTGTATATTAATCACCGGGGAGCTTATTAAACTACAGATTCTGATTCAGTAGATCTGGGGTAGGGGCCTGACACTCTGCACTTCTACCAAGCTCCTGGGTCTCTGTTGCTGGCCCCTGGACTACAAAGCCATTGACAGACCCTCTAGGTCAGCTGCCAGCCAACTTTTCCTAGAAAGGTCAGAGTAAATACTTTAGGCTTTGGGAACCATATGGTCTCTACAGCTACTCAACTCTGCTGGTATAGCACAAACATAGCTACAGAAAACATGTAAATAAGCAAGTATGGCTATGTTTAAAAAAAACTTGATGGATGCTGAAGTCTGAATTTCATGTAGTTTTCATGTGTTACGATATTATTCTTTTGATTTTTTCCAACCATTTTTAAATGTAGAAACCACTCTTAGCTTGCAGGTCATACAAAAACACTCTTAGCAGTCCAGACAGGCTCACAGGCTGTAGTTGGCTGACGACTGAATTAGGTTCAGTGTGTGTGGGTAAGCAAAGCGGTCACAGTCTAGGCTGCTTTCTCTATTCCAACTTCTCCTCCTAGATAGGTAAACACGGTCAGCCCTTTCTTCATTTTAAGCATAGAAACAGAAACCCCCATTTTGTTTCAGGTCTGGTCCAGATTTCCTAATGGCAGAATCCTTTGTGTAGTGAAACTGATGCTTGAACCCTTTGGGTTCCTTCGGGTTTACTGTTAGCTAACAGATCCTGGAGGATGAGACGGGTATTTGGAACCCCTAATCTTCCAACAGAACCAGAAAGCATCTCTAGACCATGTTAAGCCTTTGGGGAGTTTCATTCTCCGTCAGCAAAAATCGGGTATGTTTAAAGAAAGCAAAAAAAATTGCCCTGGATCTTTTTAGGAAAAAATAGAATGATTCATAGAATGGATAACTACACAAACATTACTAGACTTATACAAAGTGAGATGTTTAATAGTATGAAGATGAGTCTACCTCCCTGAAGAGACTCTGCTTCTTTGTCCCCACTAACTGATCCAGAAATCATGTTCACATGGTGGGTCTGCTGAGTCAGGTATTCCTGGAAATCTTTCACGAAGTCCAAAGGCTCTGGTTTCTTTTCACCCATCTTTGCCTTTTTTTAAGTTTACAGTGATACCTAGGGGGGAGGAAAAACTGAAATAATTTTACACTATTTAGGGAGATCCAGTATGTATTAAAACAACACTGACATTATTATGTGCAAGGAGCTATACAAAGCAACAGAACAGTCTCTGCCTTGAATATTCCTGGTGAACTAGAGAACACACACAAAATGGTGAACAATTAACATTTAATATTTCAATAAACTGGAATTCAAACTGAAGTCTTAAGAGGATGAAAGGAAATTTTTACAAAGACAGAAAAAAAGAGAAAATAAGTCCAGGTGAAAGAAACAGACACATCAGCAGGGACTATCAATGGAGACAGTAAAGAAACCCAGTGGCTCAATCGGGCCGTCAGAATTCTCTGGGTGGTGGACATGCTGCATTATCTGTGTTTTCTAACAGAGCTGCTACTAGCCACATGCAGCTACTGAGCACTGCAAATGTAGCTACTACAAATGACCCAAGTTTTAAATTTTATTTAATTAAATGGAAATAGCTACAGATGGCTAGCGACTACCATAAGGACAGCAAAGGCTCTTCAATCACAGGGGTCACATGAATGAGTACTCTAGAAACAGGTGATCTCGAACAGGGTGGCAAACCTTTCTGTAAAAGGCCAAACAGTTAAGTACTTTAGGCTTTGCAGGTCATGCAGTCTCTGTCTAAATACTCAACTCTGTCCTTGCGGCTAAAAGCAGCCATATGCAATATGTAAACAAATGAATATGGCTGTTTCAATAAAACTTTATAAAAATAGGCCTTGAGCCCAGTTTCGCCTGCAGACCGTAACTTCCCAACCTCTGCTCTAGAAATCCAAATCACCACCTCTGTTCTATCACCATCCATCACCCCATTCACTGAGAATGGAGGAAAAAATTAAGAAAGAAAAGAAAAAAAATTAAAATCCCTGATACTGGCATAGAGAGGGAAATTCTCATGTGAGATTTTGTAACCACAAACTAAACTGTTCCTCACATAGGTTTATGGCCCAAATTCACAAATCAAATCACCAAAAAATTTCCTAGTATGAACAAAATTAAGAAGTCTAGCACCCAGGCGGCAAAAACTATTTTTTCAGTAAAAATATTTTTATGCAAAGGCAAAAGGTTGTGAAATGAGGGGCTTCCCATAAAAGTACATTTTCCAAGTAACAAGCTTGACATTTTAAGAACCCAAACACCTATTTTGATTGACAACAAGATACAGACTGACCCCTGACTATGTGAATACTATAGATGATCGTACCTACATTAGTGCCGCAGTGAGGAGCACAAGGCTGTTGTGGCTTCCCTTGTTTACTGTAACCAGACTGATGTATTTTACTTCCGTATTTCTTGTGTTCCCCTCTCCTTGACTCTAATTTGTTCTTTATCCTGAACACATTTAACGAAATAAGGACTTGCAAATGACCAAATTCTCACTTTTCTTAATAAAACATTTATGAATAGCTCCTTTCCTCCCTTCTTAGAAGCTGCCTAGGGGTTTTAAAAGGTATTATTATTATTACTACCTCTTTTCACTGTTTTCTAGAAAGCTGACACCACTGAAAGTCTATCCTTTGGATGAACAGAATATTAGTAGCTCAAACTTACTAGCTGTTAAGAATCTGAACAGGAACTTTTCTTAGCCTTAGTTTACTTTATCAAGTGGGATAATTATACCAACTTGCTGTGCTGTTTTAAGTTTTACAGGTATGTATATGGAAAGCAGGTCACATGTGTAGCATATGGTATATTCTCAGACAATAGTGGCTATTTTTGCAGCAAAACATGGTCACATCTTGGATTAAGAAATTCCTCACTATCCCAGATTCAAAGATTTTTCCCTTTTTCTATCAGTTCATCAACTGAGCATCTTATGTGACCATTTTACATATCTGTTCCTGAGTTACAACGAAACAAACATGGTCATCTACCTTAATCTTATTAATTCATATATCCCAATTTGTAATTTCCCAAATCTATTTGAAATTTCCCAAACTCATCTCTTATTTTACTCTTGCAGGCCACCCACCTCTTTAAATCACTTGCTGTAGTCTGGCTCAAATTTCTGAACCTAAACGATTATTGCTGGTTTCTGAACAAGTTTGTTTCAGTTGCTTTGTCCAATCTTCCCACGTTTACTTGAATTGGTTCTCCATGTTTCCTAATCATTGTATTACCATTTGTTTTATAATTATAGTAGATTCTATTGGTTATTTGTCCTTTACAATTTGTCCTTTGGTTAGAAAAAAAAAGTGAGCCAATCAGCTCCAATGAAAAAGTTAGGAATAAGATCAAGATCAACATATAATAAGGTTTTATCTCAATAAAACTGAAAGGGGGAAAGACAAAACACACAGGGGTGGGGAGAATTGTAAAAATAGGCATAAAAAGGTAAGAAATACAGCACATAGAGGTGTAAAATGAGTTCCAGAAAAAGAAAAATAAACAAAAGAGAAATGATTTAAAAAAACACACAGGATATTTCCAGAATTAAAGCTCTTTCAGATTGAAAGGGATTAGAGAGTAAAACAGAATGTATGATAAAATAACACTTAGACATACTATTGTAAAACTTTAAAACCTCAAAGAAAGAGAATTATACAAAACTTTCTAGAGAGAAAAGGCAGCCCACCCCCGTAAGAAAAACAATCAGATTGTATCAGGGTGTCAACGGCTATGTAGGTGCAAGGAAACAACAGAGTAATCGGTTATGCAAACTTAGAATGTCTTAACTTCCTCAAGTTGATAAAGGACATCTTCCCAAAATCTACATCACAATTAATGGAAAAAATTTATAGATTCATTACCTTTAGACAAGAATACTTGCTATTACTACAGCTATTCAACATAATACTGGAGGTAGAGGCCCCCATAATTTAAAAAAAACAAAAAAAACAAATAAAAGGTATGAGGATTGGAGATATAAAATTTTAAAAAGATGATGATCTGGGAAATTGTTTTTTAAATTGTAAAAGCTGTTAGGTCCGATAACTTGTCTGTGTTCTAATTGTAAAAGTTATACTTAAGAAAGAAATCCTGGGGTTTACATTGCAACTTAGCATCACTTCTGGCCAATCAGTTCATATGAAAACTGATGTTTCCATTAGAAAAAATCTGAATGTACTTTGATAGACTTCAATAAGCAAGATAAATCTTACCAAATCCTGATTAGAAAGTATAGCACTGGTACACTATAGTGTGACAAATACAGGAAAAAAGCAGACTGCCAGTAAGAGCAAGCAGAAGAAAATAATACTTTTATACATGCATCTCAAGTTTTAAGAACACAAATGAGCCTAATTAGAGAGGATGGCTGTCATATTTTGACAGTCTTGGCTATTATCACACTGTCACATTATAAATTTCACTGTGTTCCCTGCCATAAATTATATGCTGATGGATTTAAGGAAAAAAAAGGCGGGGGGGGATGCTAATGGAAAAAAGTAAGATACATTGTAAACATGAAAGAAAACAATTCTTAAATTGGCATTTTAAATATATTGATATGAATTGATATGATTTGTAACCTCTGACATACATCACCCCCCCACACACACCACACACACCCACCCATCCACACCCACGCACAGCATGACAGCCCCCTGCAGAGTCCCTGGAACAAATGACTATGAATGAAGGGCACCTAAATATGAATACTCTTTGGTTCAAGACCCAGATTTCTCCATCTCAAGTCAGCATTTCTAAGCACAATAAATATAAAATGAACAATAATTCTGAAGCTACAAAAAGCTTCCTGATATCAGGAGGAAATACAGATTTTATATCCAAACCATCTTTCTGTCTTTAATAAAGTAATCAACAGTCTCAGGACTGAAAGTTTAATCTAAGAACTTCACAAATTAACTGATATCTGGAGATGCCTCTAAGACACTGATAAATATTAAAACCTTTGCAAAAATAACACAAAAATCTACTTTGGGAAATCAGCAAACTAATGTTTTTATTGAAAGAATCTTTCCTATTGGCCATGAATTAAACACCTTGGAGCGCTTGTTAGCCAAAAAATTACACAGAATCTCACGGTGTAAAATTATATCAACAGAAAAAGAAACATTTAAGTCTTCCACTTTTAAAGATTTGGGTGGTGTATTCCAAGCCTGATCTACTCTTTCTGTAACTGATACCTAATCATATCAACCAAAGAGAATAATTTTTCCCATACTTTACGATTATCATTCCTTCTGATACAGTCCGTTCTGTGATTACTCTGCTTAAAATTAAATGAGGTCTAGTATGTATTCCATGGGTGTAGGTGCATGTCTGTATAGAAACTGGCTAGTAGAATATACCTAAATTATTTGTATGCCAATAGCTTCTCCCAAATTATTCATTTCAAGGATCAAAAATAAGGTGTTTACAAAACAACCAGAGGCTACTCATGCTAGTGAAAGAAAGAAGTATTTGAAAAATAAGCTTTGCTATCCCAAAAGAACATGAAAACCTTTTAACCTTTAAGCAAGTAACTGTATTCTCTGAACTTTCTCTGGTTTCTAATAAAGGATTTATGTGTATGAAGTCCTCTATCTTTCTTCTTCAGTCTCATAATGGGAAGTTGTTGATCAATACATACACACACGCGCGCACACACAACCTCTTAACCAGCAGTTACCATTGAGGCATCATGATGCAAATTACAAGACAATTACAACTATGACATAGAAGTAATATAAGAACCAGAAATGGGCCAGCCGAGTGGTGTGTTGGTTAGGAGTTGGCTTGGGACGCCAGCTCTGAGCAGCATGGCCCGGTTTGGATCCCACATGAGGGCCAGTGACACTAAGCTAAGATGCTGAACAACAGCTCAACCTGGAGCTGAGCTGCCGTGGGTCGCCGGCGATGGCGTGGGCTGCAGTGGGGCTGGCCAGCAGCTGGCGTGCGCTTTCGTGAGCCGCCATGAGTGGCCGTCCAATGGCCGGCGAGCGAGTGCCTCGCCCGGGAAGAGCGCAATGATAATACCAACATGGGCCAGTGAAGCGACGTCCTCCACAACTAGGCTGAAGAACAAAAGGACAGCAACTTGTCTGTTCCCCTTCCCCGATTCCCCAACGCTGTTCCCTCCCCCAATTTCCCAATAAAAAATCTTTAAAAGAAAAAGAGCCAGAAATGGCTCTTTAACCTACCTTCCTTCCAAATCTACCTTTTTTACAAGTTATAGGAGAATTTTGAGAACAGAATTAGAGAATAGTTGAATCTATTTTATTCACCCAGCATTTCTGAGAAAGGTTACTAAATCAAAAGGTAGAATACTTAGCAACTAACTTATACAATAACTTAATTTGGGGGTTAGGCAGGCCTATACATATAAAATGAATGCAGTTCAAAGGATGTGTTTACTTTTATAGCTAACTGATTATGGTCACGAAAGATTTACTCTGCCATAGAATACCTATCAATTGGTAAGTCTGACAAATAAGACTTGGTTTATGTAGAGGATAACATGGACCTTCAAAGAGAATTAGAACACATTTCCTCTGATAACATAAGTGTCAAAAACAAACTCTTTGGAGACAAAAAGGGACATTATAAGGCTTTGGGAAATCAGAAAACATAAAAGTAAAACACAAATAAATACAAGTTACAAGAAATACAAAAGCAGAGTTACACAATCTAACCTTTTCACCCCAAATCAGTTCCTCCTTTTTCTTGCCACTCCAACATTGATGAAATGTAGAGTAATTGAAATTTACTCTGGAGACACACCAAGGGACTCCAAAAGGCCATGGAGGGAATTTCAACTAAAATTGAAAAGTCATACAGAGGTCTGCAAAGAAAAGCACACCACAAATCAAAACCTTTATGACAAAAACTTAATTAGCCATCTACAGGTTTAATAAGCTCATAAAATACCTTGTGCCAATTTTACCATTACCAGAAAACTATGCTAACAAATAACCAAAGAACATAGCAACAGATTCACTTCAACAACAGCTCCAAAGAAATCACCAAAGAATAACATGCTCTAGTGTGACTCTTGTTTTTAACTGGTGGATTTCATAAGATTTCATTTTTGGCAAGATTTTTAATCTACTTCTAAATTCAGGGTAATTTCATTTGTTCTTAGTACACTTCTTAAAGGGTCAGGCTTAATACTCGCTGAACACCTGTAACTGCATAAAAACAATGCACTAGGGGAAACATTTGTGGTTAAGGGTTTTGTTTAAAAAAAAAAAAAAAGACCCACCACACACACCCAATGAGGGCACATCTGGATTCCCAGCTTTATTATTCTATCTTAACCCAAAACACTTAAGATTTTCTGGACCCTCCTAGGGGCAAAAAAAAAACACCAAACATCTCGACTCGCTGTAACGAATTCCCAAGAGCATATTAATGTGTAGCTGTGCTGAAGGCACGACATAAATCAAAATAAATGGAGTTTTAAAATTGTTAGTCCAGACCAACTGGCTTAAAAAGTTCGCTTAAAGAAGTTTTGTTTCTTCTAAACTTGAATTTCTTTAGATCTCAGTGTAAAGCTCCTTTATTTCACCTTCCGCTTGTCACTACTCTTTTGGGTTCTTAACAGCCCATTAAAGGGACACTAAATGGACTAGTGTTTACTGGCAGGTGAAACTGGTTTGACTTCAATTCATAAAATAATTCAGAAAATATTGTAGTTACCGAGCACTAACTAGGTGCAAGGCTTGGCTACTCGCGCTCCTGGCAGTTTGAGAGACTTAAAGCCTACATGAACCTCAACAGTTCTTTGCTGCAAAGTCCTCCCCCAAGCCTCACATCTCCCCAAAATTAGAATGCACAAGCAGTACAAACGGATCCGGGCAGGAACATTAGATAAAAGACGGAGGTTTTAAAAGTCCTCCTCCCAACAAGTCGCCCGGGACTGGCGTCGGGGCGGCATCCTCACCAAGATTCCAAGTGACTTCACCAGGATTCGGAACACCTAGGAGACCTGCGCCTCGCCAGACCCCCAGGCTCTGGGACCCCGCGGAAACGTAAACATCGGGGCGCCCCCCGGACGACCACCTGTCAGAGCCAGAGGCAACTCCCTACCCCGGAGTCTCCAAGCCCCTGCCCGACGGCGCCGCCATCCCAGGCGCCGCTCCCTAGGACTCCTGAGGTCACAGGACCCGCACCCTCCGCACTCAAGCCCGGAAGGGCCCGGGTCGTGACCCTTCGGACCGATGGAACACGCCCGACCCTCCGCTGGGACTGAGTCCCGGGCGGGGTCAGCCGGTCATCCACGAACCCAGTTCTCGCCTCCAGCCGCTCCTTCTTAAGCGTCCTGCTCAGCCGTGTCTCCGCTGTCCAAGCCAGCAGCGTGCTACTTACCACCTGACAACCGCACCGGGTAACTGCCACCGCCTTGTTCAACGCCGCTGCCGTCTCCGTCGCCGCCGCTGCCGCCGCGGTCTTCGTCACCGTCGCAGCCACCGCCGCCGCCATGTTTGGTGCGTCTCCGACTCCCTTCCCGCCCCACTGCCTTGCCAAAGTATCGCGTGAGCAAGAGTAGCGCGAAAGCGGAGGGGGTTATGTCTCTCTCGGGGTGCCGTAGGCACTAGGGGGCGTGGTGAACTGGGATACGGGGCGGAGCCGAGTCGGGGGCGGGGCGGAGTGGGCGTGGCCCTGGCTCCGCTCGCCTCCGGCTGCTTGTTAGCGACCCGGAGACTCAGCTATTTCACGCAAACGACCTCGCCTGGAAGGAGCTGCAGTACGACGTTGCGATGGAAGGAGCCGCAGTACGCCTACTGCGCGGCAGCGCGCTGGTGAGTACGCTGGCGGCGAGTGTCCTGGGGATCCCGGACGACCTTGGTCCCGGATCCGTCTTCTAACGGGACTGGGGCGCCCGCTCCGCATCCCTGGCCCGAGCCTCCTTCGCTCCGCCGCGTCAGTTTCTGACCCTTCACCGCGGGCTGACCACGACCCCGACCTCCTTCCAGGCCTCCGGCCGATCCGGCCTCAGCTTCTCTAAGGGTTGGGAGTGGCAGCTGGTGAGAAGGGTCCTGGGGGCTGGACTAGAAGCTTCTTCGGCGGAGCAAACACCTTGCGTGGACTAGGAGAGCCACAGCTGCAACATGTCCTCTGCTGGCTCTTGAGCCCGGGCGCCACCGAGTCTCGGATCTTTGGAGGCATTTTGCAGAAATGTCACCTCTCGGATGCTACCTTTCCCTAGTGGTTACAGTTCACCCCCTTTCCTCTAAAAACAGGTTGTTAAAATATAAGCACAGCCTCATTCCTAGCAGAGTGTTTCCTTGTCCTCCCTTCTGCGGCCCTGCTTCAAAATTAGGAAGGGACCTTGGAGTTGGTGGGACTTACCGGCCAGGAAGAGACTTGCCTCTGGCCCTTATGTCATGGCTGGGGCCTGAGTAGCTTCCTTGGATGGGCTCACCACGGCACAGGGGACCCCATTCCCGTCCCGCTTCCTTGAACTTGAGCTGAAAACCCGTTCAGGAATCTCCACCTATTGTACCTAATTCCGCTCTGTGGACCTACAAAACTTCAACAGTTCTTGTGTCTACACATTAAACATTACTAGTGTCTTCAGCCCTTCGTCCTAGGGCATGCTTTCCAGAACCCCCACACGTTGGGATACACTTCCGTTTGTCAGTACACTTTGGGAACTTTGCGACTGCTGCTGGCTGTTTACATTTTATATGGTGTTCATTTGCTTTAAGTAGTTAAAGGCTCTTCGACTGCTGCTTCAATTTTATGCCCGGGGGCAGGACTGTTTGTTTAATTAGAGATAATTGAAGTTACTCATTTTACAGTCTTGGGTAGTAAAAAAATTAGTCAAGCCATGTTAGCATATTGTCACAAAGAAATATGTTTTATGGTTACTATCTAATACTATTTTATAATTGTTGTTTAATAGGTTAGCAAAGAAAATTGCCTGGGTTTCACAATTTAACTCTTTGTTTTAGAGCCAACATTATTTTACCACAGACTGTGTGCCAGGCATGTCCTTGGTGCTCTACCTGCATTGGTGAATTCTCACAACCATCCTAAAAAGTAGTTTAATCTTTCAGATGCAGAATCTAAAACGAAATAAGATTTAAGTGACTTGCTCAGTCACTCAGCCAGAAAGTGATGGAGCTGGTGTTCTAACCGGTCTCATTCTAAACTTAACCTTCACGCACTGCTGCCTCCTCCCCGTCCTTAGAGATATCAGAGACCTATTTTGTTTGGATTTGTTGGTTTTATTGTGGCTTATCGTCCTTCATAGTTTTTAAAGGTCGTTTACATAAGTTAGCAAGTGTAACTGATGGGATGTTGACTGTAGCACAGTGGGGAAGAATGAGGGTAGCCTGATTGCCTGGGTTTGAACCCAGGCTCTGTCACTTCCTAGGAGTGTATAATCTCGGGCAGGTTACTTAACCTCTTCGGGGCTTAGTTTCCTGACCTGTAAAACGGGGGAAAATAATAGTACCTATGCCCGCAGGGTTGTTGTGAAGATTAGATAAGTTCATATGTACAGGTGAGGCACTTAAAGTAGTGCCCAGCAGGGCTGGCCGAGTGGCTCAGTTGGTTAAGAGTTGGCTTAAGAGCGCAAGTTCTGAGCACAGGGCCGCTGGTTCGATTCCCACATGGGCCAGTGACGCGCCCGAGGTGAGCTGTCGCTGAGCTGCCAACAGGTGGCAGGATGGCTCAGCTGGTGTAACAGCAAGATTGCCTGTTCGATGGTGGGCTATGCCCACCCGCAAGTATGACTGAATTTGGCATCTTGAACTGAGCTGCCGCCCAGATGGCTCAGTGGATAGGGCGTGCACTCTTAACAACAAGGCTGCTGGTTCGACTCCTGTATGGGATGGAGGTTATGCCCACCCGCAACTAAGACTGAACTCGGCACCTTGAGCTTAGAGGCCACAAGCTGCCGACGGGAAAGCCAGATGGCGACTGGCGCCCTCCTCAATGAAGACTGAAGAACAACAACTTAGCTGGTCCCCTTCCCCAATTCCCCAACACTGTTCCCCTCCCCCAATCCCCAATAAAATCTTAAAAAAAAAAATAGTGCCCAGCATAGAGTTAGCTATCATTAAATATTAGCTCTTATTATTGCCACGCATGAGGTGTTGAGTGCTATGGCAGATAGAATCAAGACCCTAAACACTTGCCTCTAAGAAGTTATCTTTTAGTGGAGAGGTTAGAACTATATCCAGCCAACCTCCTATCATGTAGTTGTGGTAGAGATTAGGGGTCCACAGTCTGCCTGTGGGTTCAGAGGAGGGAGAGAGGGACCATAAGGGGAAAGACAGGTTCTCTGTGGAAGCTGGGTTTAGATTTTAGGAGGGAGAAAGAAGTAGGGAGAATACTAGCGGAAAGGGGAATGGGACCATTTTGAGAAATTATGGCGTTGACCCTTTGGGTTTTAGAGAGCCATGGAAGGTTTTGAGCCTTAGAGATAGAGCAGCATAGCTATGGTTTAGTTAGATTGTTATCATAGCAGGTGGCATGGAGGGCAGAGAAATTCAAGGTAAGACTAATTTTGGTCCCTATCCAAAGATGAATGGAGAGTCAGCTTTTAGTGAGAATTTACTGTGGACCAGGGGCAGCATTTTCCGTCCACTCCCCTATTTACGCTTTCTGTGAACTTGATGTAGCTGCTATTAGTGACTTCATCTCCCAGATCAGAAACTGGGAGGCAGTATTCAGTGTCCTCTTGTCAACAACAGTCAGGTTGAAACACACGCTCAGCTCACACCTGCCTCCTCAGAAGAGCTTTCTGTTCCTACTGACCGAGTACAACCTATTTATTTTGTTTGAGCAGCAGTTTGTGGGGAATTGTACTAGTCAGCCAGTGGTTCCAAAGCATTTTAGGCAGCTTGATATTTTTCAAGAGGTCATTGTTGACAAATTTTTTTTTTTTTAAGCTGAGCCATCCTGCCACCTGTTGGCAGCTCAGCAGCTGCTTAGCTCGGGCTGGGACTCGAACCGTTGTTGCTCAGAGCTCAAACTCTTGAGCGAGCTCTTAACCAACTGAGCCACTCGGCCGGCCCTCGACAAATATTTTTAAGGTGATTCATTGTTTACCCTGTACGGAACAGCCAGTTGCTATACCTGCGAAACTAGATGCAAATCTTGCTGTTTAGCTTTCTGCTATTCAACAAAGTCAGCAATACTTTTTTGAGACATATTTGGCATCTGGGTAGAGAGAGCTTGGTAGGTAAATATTGGGCTTTTGGAAAAGTCATGACACATTTTTGCAATGAAAAACAAAATACACGTTATGACTTTTCTGACAACCCAATAGAAACTCTTCATGTGTGATAAAAGCAGATCCTGGAGTTAGGTCACTTGAGTTTGGATTTTGCCATACCCAGTTTGTTGACTATAGAATTTGATCTACACGAGTCCAGTGGGAGCCGTTGCGATTCTGAGGTGCTGTTTGCCAAGATAAAATGGTCAGTAGCTTGCAGAAGGAACCCGAAATCACAGATACCACTTAGACCATTTCAAAAGTTCACCTGTAGTGTAACAAGGCACTCAGCTAGGGTGATGCCACTGATGCTTCGGAAGGAAGACTCATTAGTCAAGGGAACCTTGAGAGGATTGGGTGACTATCTTAAAACGGAGGAATTAGATGGGCTGCACATTTTCTCAGCGGGGCGGCTTAGTGATGGGGAGAGATTGGGACACTTGGAGGAAAGTAGTTTAGGGGGAGTAGAGGAAAATGATCAGTTCTGTTTTAGATTTTAAACTTTAAAGAGCGTCAGTGAAACTTAACAACTGGAAGTTCTAATATGCATATTATATGTGTATATTAGAGACGTAAGAGGTGATAAAGCCACAGATAGTTATGGGACATCAAGGGAAAGAAAGGGGCCTACAAGTCCGAGCCCTTGGAGTACATTACAGACTGTGCTGAGTGGATGTTGGCAGAAAGGCAAAGCAGGAGTGGGGGCGTAGGGTGTCAGTTGCAGTTGGTCGTGTTTGTTTATACAGGTGTGAGTGGTCTTTCCATAAACTCCCCCCAGAGAGTACCTATGATAGCCTCATTGCCCAGAAGCCAGATAGGAAGCCCAAGAAGACTTTTCTTCCATCTGTTGAATCTCAGTTGTCTTCAGCTTAAAGTAATCTTTATGTCCACTCGAGGGTTCCAGGTGGGTCCCACACCATGATAGGGCTATACCACAAGTGCTTAACCATCCGCCCGTTGAAAGACATCTAGGTTATTTCCAGTTTTTTACTATTATAAATAAAGCTGCTGTGAACATTTCCATTGTTGGATTTTGTTTGAAATTGTTTTTATATCTCTAGGATAAATATATCAAAAGGAATAAAATTGCTGGTCATATGGTAATTGCACGTTTATAAGAAACTGCTAAACTGTCTCCAGGGGGCCCTACCTACCATTTTATAATCCTACCAGCAGCGAATGAGATACCCAGTTACTCCTCATCCTTGCCAACAGTTCCATTGTCATTAATTTTTTTGTTTCAGCCATTCTGCTGATAGATGTGTGATTATATCTCACTGTGTTAATTTACTTTAAAAATATTCTTTAATTTCCAGCAAGATTGGAGAATGAGATATCCTGGTGATTTGAGTTAAAAGATCCTTCTTTTAAGTATTATACACATTTAATTATATCATAAAATAATATTATTTTACCTTTCCTTGATCCGTAAAGTTGAATCAGTGCAAGAGGACATTAAAAATGCCATCAAAATGTGCTTACCAAGGGTGAGCACTCTAGTTATCTAGCTTAGACGTTATATGATCTTTGTGGAATTGTAAGTCAAAAAAGACTTAGGAGAAAATTCAATTT